GGGAGAAATTCAATCTTTTGGTATAACAAGGCTGAACACATCGTCATTACAATGAAAATCTTCTTGCAGCCAAATTTAAGACTTAGTATTAGCTCAGATCCCTGATCTGAAACTGCCGTCTATAGGAAAACAACAAAAAAGTCAAATGTAGAATTATAGCAGGAACCTTGGAAATATTTTCAACATAGAGCTGAAACCATAGGCGGAGGGTGAACCAACTCCAGGGTAAGGCTAAAAGCAGCCAAATGTATTAAACGTCATAACCCCGTCTTTTTAGGCAAGAACCAGACATGGGTGCCATGTAGGCTAATAAAACATGTTTAATGGGACTGAATTTGTATTTAACGTGATTACAATTGAATAAAAACATTAGAAATTTATAATTATATAACGTTTCCTTTCCACGGCTATTCAAACAGCGAATAAATTATATAGGCTATAGAAAGTGACATTATCACTAACTTTGATCTATCACGAGTTTAAGTACTCTCAAAAAACTAAACTACCGTTATAATCACTGAAGCTGTATACACTGTGAAATTAATCTCTTGCTTACATTGTATGTACATCTGCGCTTTGTTGTTTATGATGAGAGAATTCGCAAGAGTCCGGAATTCAGTCAGAGAACGCGCACGCACTCTGATGAACAAAACTGATGAGTTTCAGCGATGACTCAACTGAACGCCTCTGATTGGCCATTGCATTCCTAAGCTCAATAGAATTGTGTGTGATTGGTTAAAATAAGCAACACTTTAAAAACGCCTAACATGAAATACGGTACAATATGATCAGATCTTAATTTAATGCCACAATCGACACTGTCTATTCATTTTCACTTTGTTAGCAACAGACGTAATATATTTCATTTGTTTGTGCAGGGGCATTTTTGTCCAATTTAGTGGCATTTTTGCCCCAAATCCCTATGGCCTTACACACGCTCCAGCTATGGGGCCACCCAAACATTATAGGTCAATGTGGGCTTCATCGCTCCTTATTGTTGTCTTTTCTGAGGTGAATAGCATTACATGACTATTCACAAGCTGTTTTATTAATAAAAAAAACATAAATGCTTGGAAATAATATTTAAAGTTTTCATTAGTGGTGCACAAGCCACCCAATAATCGCAATAAGCGTGTTTTGTTACTTTTAATATAACACAAATCGTAGCCTTTAAATTCTGTCAATTTTATCAGAACAATGAACTGAATCAATCATCTATTTGTCTATTAGTTCTAGCACGAGATAAACATGAATGAATATCAGAAGACATGTTGAAAAAAATCAGAACAACTTAAATGAATGTCTCATGTTTAGAAAATCATCAACAAAACCGCTTGTGAATAGTCGTAACATAACATGTACCTCAGAAACGCCAACAATATAACTTTGCCAAAATTGTTTTATTATTTTCATAAATCAGTTAACCGCCACCAGTGTTTGGGAAAGTTACTTTTAAAAGTAATGCATTACAATATTGCATTACTCTCTAAAAAAGTAACTAATTACATTACTTAGTTACTTTTTATGGAAAGTAATGCGTTATATTACTTTTGCGTTACTTTCGCGTTACTTTTTAAATATAAGCAGGGCTTGATTGTTTTTAATATAAGAAGTTCTATTTATAGCAAATATAAAAGCCCTTTCACAAGAAAAAGTGTAATGAATAAACCTCAGGCTGAAGCAAAAGTAAATTCACGTCTGTACAGTAGAACGCAGGAGAAGAAACACTCTTCAGCAATAAAAAAACAATGAAGCACAATTGTTAGTTTATCTAAAGTAATTTTTGCCTATTAGTATGGTTGAACTGGATCATCAAAGGTCAGCAGCAAAGACATTGGTTAATAAAATGGGATTAGATACACTCTAAAAAATGCTGGGTTGTTTCAACCCAACTTTGGGTCAAATTTGGACTAACCCAACTCTTGGGTTAAAAACTGAATGTAAAAATTTAACCCAACAGTTGGGTTAGTCCATATTTGACCCAGAGTTGGGTTGAAACAACCCAGCATTTTTTAGAGTGTAATATAACAACTAGTAAGTAGTAATATAAAAAAAATTACTTTACCCAATACTGTACTAAGTTTTCTACAACTATAGGGTATATTATACTACAATACACTACAGTT